AATATATGTTATTTACATCTACTAAATTCATATTTGGAATCTTAAAGTATTTTTATATTTTACTATTTTATTTATTAATATTTCTTATGCATTTATTTATCAAAAGTGTAAACATTTTTTATAATAATTTTTAATTTTATCATTAATAAGTTAAATTGAGAAAAAAAAAATTTAAGTAACTTATACAATTTTAAAAATTCTACGGTAATAATATTAATATTTACAGCATTATATTTTAATAATCTCTAATTATATTAGTAATTAAATATTTATAAATATTAAATTAAAACTGAAAGTAACATTTATTTTCATTAATATTGAAAAAAATAAATATGATTATACTTTGTTTTATAATTTTTTTTCCAAAACAATTAAAAAAAACGATAAAAAATATTTTTAGTTATAAATAATAAATGTAAAGCACTTTATGATTCTTATTTAAAATTAAAATTATTACATTTAACATTTTAATAAATTAATTTTGTTAAAAGCTTACTTGAAATAGAGAAATATTGATAATGCAAGAATCAGAGCAATCAAAGATAAACTGTAACCAATGTAATAAATAGTAGAATTGTATTTGATATCCAGAATATCCTAAAAATAGATATATAAACAACTTTTAAAATTTAAAATATATTATTCTCATTGGAATTTAAGTCTTAATAGAAATTAAATTAAAGCTCGATTAATTCCGGTTTCTTTAAATTAAACAAAATGAAGTTAAAAAAGTAGAAATATCTGAAGTAAACAATTTTGAAAGCAAATAAATAAAGTAGTTTTATATAATTAAATATTGATAAATATGTTATTTTACTGTTGATTCCAAAGTTAAAATTACATTAGTTTTATTACGAAATTAATCTATGTTGATGAGAAATTTTTAATTTTTGAAGATCGAGATGGATAAAATTTGTGTTACACAATTGTTTCCTTAATAATATAATTAAATTAAATTAAAACTTTAATGTGATTACATTATAGAGACGTATTTTATTCAATTTAAGCATGATTGTTAGCAAAAATTTACATATATTAATATTTTGTTAGTATATTAAATTTTTATTCTTTATATTTTAAATAATATTTCATTTATACTAATTAAATAAAATAAGGCTAATTCAAGAGTAATAACAGATTGAATTCATCATTGAAAAGAAAATTGTCTAATGATCTTTATGCACTGAATAAGAAATCAAAGAGTGCAATTCATTTAGGAACTATTGAAGATAAAAATAACGACTGGATAATGATTTTCACTCACTTCGTGTACCGTAAGTAGGGCTCGACAGCCAGAATAATTCGCTTTCACTGCCCATGTTCCATTTACTTCACACATTCGAGTAGCATTCTCTACAAATAAAAATAGTTTAGTATTCTCCTAACATCAAACTCAACAAATATCAAACATTAACGTCTATCATTCAATAAAAAACTATGAGTAATCTTGTAAAATAAACTTTTTAAATTAATATTATTTAATAATTTCATTAAAAGTTGAAAAATGTTTTATTATGTAACTTATGTAACGATCGAAAAATAAACAAAAATATTTTTAATCATTTTTCAATTCCCTTGCAACATTGGTTATCATTTAAAAACATATTTTTCAAATTTTTTAATTAGCAAATTAGTTTAATAAATACTAATTTGAGAAATAATTAAAATTAATTATATACTGAGATATTATTATATTTAATTTAGAAATATTAATTTATTTATTTTTAGAGAAAATCATTTCGGACAAAATTTATAACAAATTTATATCCTGTAATTTCAAAATAATTAAGTAATATTTCAATTATTTTTATAGAGGAATAAAATTATTTTTAACGAATTATTTAAAATTAATCACAATCATTAAACTTAAATTCTTTTATTCATCTTTTACAGTTTAAGATTCAGAATTTGTGGTTGATTTAAAGAATTCGATGAGCAAAAACGAAGACGTTGTTACAAAAATTAATAAAAAGTCATCGTCCAAACAACAAAAATTATTTACTTAAGAAACACAAGGAACAAACAAATATCAATTGCTATATTTTATATTATTCTATAAGTTCTTAACATCATCTAAATAAAAAATCAGACATTTAACATTGTCAGATTAAAGTATTATACTTAATAACATCAAATGCTATTTATATAACGTAATGGGTTTAACATCGTGTTAAACATATTATTAACAGATTTCAGTGTTTGTAATATTTGAAAAAAGAAATTTATGTTTAAAAACTATATGATAAACCGTTTTATCAGTTTTTTTTCCCATCTTTATGTATATCTAAATTTTAATGCGTTTATATAACTGCGTACCGCATGCTGAGCCATAGACAAGTACTGTATTTAGTATATTTATAACAGTCACATGTCTAATATAAATATAATAAATTGTTTTTAAATATTTTAAGATAATTTTCTTAATTTTTTAAGTAAAACAAGTAAATAATTTTAAGTCTTTAATTAATCGAAAATACAAGAATTAGAATCTTCAAATTTATTAAATATTGATGAATCATTTGTATTTTTTGTTTTATAAGACGTGTTTATATATTTTTTGTATTCTTTGTGTACCCAGAAAACATAACTAAATTTTTTATCATATTTGATTAAAGCGAATAATGGAATATTTAGAATTCTTATTTCTTCTTTTATAGAAATGTATTTAAAAAGATTTTTTAGATATAAGTTATATGCTTATATAAGCTACAATATATGCTTAAATATATTATACTTAAGCATATATTATTTTTCTTGATTATTTAAACTAATTCATTAGTAATCCTTGGGTTATTATTATTATTATTATTTTAATAACCGAGCTATTAAAGAACAACCGGTTAGTAAATTTTTAATTAATTTTCGTATAAAGAATAGATATCTCTAAATAAGACAGACAGATAACAAAAACAATCGGATAATAATACAACTTTAATCAAAGTTTTAATTAACTATTGCCCAGATTTAAACCTTGATTGATCTAATGAAATTGAGTAGTGAAGGTACAACAAGTATTGTCATTTAAAAGTAAATTGTTTAACGGTTCTAATGATGTATTTTATGGTTTGTTTTCAGTTGGTAAGTATTTTATACAAATGGATAAGTCATTGAATGTCCCGGTAACAGCTGTCTCAGCAAGAGATTATTAAACTCTATAAAAGATAAGGCAGTAACGTCTTCGTTTGCAATCGGTGGGCGATGAAAGCCGCATATCCCACATTTAACACCCTCTTTAAGTAAATGCAATATTGTTAGACAAAAATCAAGAGAAAATAAATTATGAAATATATTTAATAATTTCCATCAAATATTTAAATAATTTTTTTTGAATTATTATGAAAGTATTTATTAAAATAATATATTATATAGAATTTTTAAAAGTTTTTTATATTTTATTCTGACATTTTAGACACGTTAATAAATGTTAAAAGCTAATTTATGTAAATTTATATATGTATTCAACACTTATTATAATATGATTGATTAAAGTATAGTTGATAACTTTTTAATTTTTTAAAAAACAGAAATGAGCATTTAATGATAATAGTGCAGTCTGCTGATAAATAATTTAATCAGGTGTTTTCTTACATCAATATTTCTTCTTTCTGCTATAATTTTTGAAAATATTTCAGAGTTTATTTTTAGCATAATATTAATTTTAAAAAGATAAAAATAACGATTTGACTTGTTTTTAATTAGACTAATTAACTGCATTATTTTCAATTAAAACTTATTGTCACCTATTTAGATTTAAAAATTGATGTAGACATAGGCTTACATATTTAAACTTTATGAAAGATTTAGTAAAACTTCGTTATGTCGACGTTTAAGGAGTAAAAAAATCCTGATTTTCAGTTAAAGAGTTTTAGGTTGATGAATTTAACACCCAATTTTCTCAAAGTTATCTGTGGTCGTAAATTTCCCTATATCAAGTGTCTTTTCAAGTATCTGTGTATATAATGATTACAAAATTGTATGCAGTTTATGGCGTTTTTCAGTGCCTTGTCAACGTATCCCCTCGTATCCCAATCAGAACGCCAGTAGCATAATGTATCAGTAAAAGTATGTCGATGTTATGGTGTTGTATTCGGCACTGGAGCCATAGTTTTATCTTAACATCTGTATTCACACTGAATATAAGAGAAAATGAAAATCACGTGCCTATCAAAGGATGGAGGTTACATGGGAAAATAGACTGGAATGAATAGTATCGACAATTTCGACTTAACGAGAGTTTAATATATAGAAAGCCCATTATACTTTGCCCGGGATTTGTAGGGAGCTTTGAGTTAACGCAGTTCGACTAAAAGAAGTTTTACTGCAGTTGCAATAGAATTTTTTAAAATTTAAATAATTCGGAGCTTAACTAATTACACTTGAAAACTGAACCTAGTTGAAAAACTAAGAACGTAATTCGAGCTTAGAGAAAAATTAAAGGTTTATCGTATTCGTTCTCAACTAAAGCAAAGAAGATAATTCAAACTAGCTAATCTAGGACTTTCAATAATATCAACCACTAACATAGCATGTTTCATTTAATATTGTGGATACTTTTCAGTAATGATCACCGTAAACTATCAACATCAGTATCAGGCTTTACAATGTGTTAATAAGCAAACTGCACAAGAAGTAAAGAATAAAAGAATTCTTACAATAAATCTGAAGGACAACTTTTTCACAGACAAACAACCACGTAGATATTTTAAGAATCAAACATAAAAAAATACTTTGTAATAAAAGTAAACCTCAAACTTTAAAGAAGTTTTGTTTTATTCTAAATGAATGCAGAGATTAAGAAAGTCTTAAAATCAATATTTACAAAAAAAAACGTTAGAAAGAAAACAAAAAAAAATTCTTTGATTTCTTTTCAACGTTATTTTTTAAAAACTAATGAGAAAGCGACCATTTATTGTGAATTTCCTGACATGAAAGAAGGGGCGAGTCTACAAAAAAGATCGAAGCAGTTTCAGTTTTGTAGGTATAGTACCTGGTTGGAATTGAAAAGGGCATGAAACAGAGTTTTGAAAATTCTTTATCATAACTCTTTTCCAACAATATGCCAGAAGAAATAATTTTCTACTTGAAAAATGTAAGGAATTACGCAAATTATAAATCGAAATATATAATCATTATGTTTAATTTCTTTTTGTTTTTATTTTCTAAATTTTCATCTGAGGTGAAATGCATAAATTAGCTGCACTTTCCCGTATACATTCATTTTATTAGCATAAACGAATATAAAACAAATAGCAAACAAAAATAGAGAATGGAATTTATATTTTATATAATAAATANCACAGATGGTTTAATTGTCACTCCAGATTCCTCACACTCGTGGATGCTGACGATAGCGGGTGTCTATCTAGTCTTAAAAATATTTGATAGGCGACAAATCTGGAGACCGTGCAAGCCAACCAAGTGTAACAGTGGGACACTGACATCCCTCAGAAATCCTAGCTCCTGGAGGACGAGTATTACCTTACTAAAAAATTCCTATTTGCTTCTTTGCTATGAAAGGCAACACACGAAAGCGCAATTTTTCTTAAACATAATGCTGTGTCGTTACCGTCCCTCGCACCACTACTCGAATGATTGTCTATCGTACGAGCTGGCCCTCAATACCAGCACGCAACATTTGGGTAATTTAGTACTTGAGAGTAAAGACGAGATTTAAGTGCTCATTACTGGTCCTCCACATCCTAACATAACATGTGGCAGAACACGGCGTTAAAATGTGATTCTAGTTCTGTTTGGAAACAACCGAAATTTACAATAGAAATTCATCACTAAAGACAATGTTGTTCAGTCCTTAGCAACCCATGTTTTTCTGTCACGGTACTACAGTACTTCAAACTAAAACGACGATTTTGGAGTGCTGATGGCAGAAAGTGGTCGCCGTTCATGTAAATTTGTCGCTGCTATTCGCCTGTCAATAGTAAGAGAAGCGTCAAAGTTCAAAGAGCGAGACTTTCTCATGTCTTTGCCCACTATCCATAGCGGGCAAAGACGCCGTTGCAGCTATTATTATTGTCTCATGATTAAACAATACTCTCTCGATGGTCTGTCAGTCTCCTCTGAGCCTGTTCATAATGAATGTGTACCATAACGTATCCATTGTCCCAATACCTGCTTGCCAATCAGGGCAGAATGACCAAATGATGGTAATTAGGCGAAACGGACATCCTGCTTTCCTCAGCCCGATGATACAGCCTTTCTCACAATTTGCCAGTTGTTTTGTACATGTGTTTGATTTTGTCATACAGGTATGCCTAGCCTTCGTGCTCCAGACATTAGGTACAGTACATGGAAAATTTTGTACACTATCCCATAAAAAGCTCTTCTAGCCTTTTATGCTGGGTACTAGATACCGGAGCAGCTATTTCAAGACACTCTGCAGACATTATCTAACACGCAGTCGGACCACTATAGTAATTATTTACATACTTGTATGAGAAATAGTTGTATGCCAAGTTTTGCAGTAATCATACAATTCTATCTGGGTATATAATACTATAATTGGTAAAAGTAATTAATTTATAAATTATGTTAGGAATACGTGGCCGATAGAGCATATATATTTATATTTGAAATCAATCAGTTTATCAGAAAAATAAGATAAAATGTCCTTTTCCATTTTATGTCGTAAAATTGTCAGTAGTAGCTTTCTCGAATAACTTTTCCAAGTTTATTATCCTGAAATTCCCGTTTTGATACTGAAATCAGAATCACTGTTCTTCAGTCCTTTAGCCACTACTGTTTTTCAGAAGTAATTCTGTATTTTTGTTAGACCATCAAATAGAAAAGTTTATTTTACAAAAGAAAAGTAACATATATATTTAAATTAGAAACTTCTGAAAACAGATGACGTTAAGACGTTTCTAATTGATTCTGGAGCTTTTTAAATTTTTTTAAAAGAAAGGATATAGTTCCCATTAACAATTATGCCTTTCTTAAATCCGATCCATATAAGTGCTCAATTAATTTCTCATTTTTCAAAAACTTTAATTTTACTTTTTACAATTGTTCCATTTTCATCTTTGATGCACTAGACTAAGAATAATAATTTGATAGGGACTTTGTTCATTTTTATATTTATCAAACTTTTTCCAGTTTCAGTTATAATACTGTTGTATTTTTATTTTAAATGTTCTATTTGATTAATAATTTAATCTTTGTATAAAATGTTCGCTTTTTAAACTGTTGTTTGATTTTAAATTGTGTCGTTTGTTATATAAACATAATCTATGATGTACTAATAATGTCTTTTTGACATTATATTTCGATTCGTTCAATAAATAACTGAAAATTTACATATATATTACTTTGGAAAATTATTTAGATATCAGAGATGACAATTAACAATATTTTTAATTTATTAAGATTAAAATTTTATCTGTTAAATTATATTTTCCACGTGGAATTCATGTAAATTTTCTTGAATCCTTATGAAAATAAAAAGCATTAACATTAGTTAATTTATTTTCTTTGCAAATTCGATTAGATTTAAACCTTTTTATTTTCTTTCATCGTATTCTACAGCGCAAAACAAAGCAGATAAGTTCTATCTACATTACGCCGAAGCCAATTTTTGGTATTCCAATCACTTTATTAAAAAAAATAATAATAAAAATTTCTGTACTTGAAAAATCTCATATATTTATTTGTAAAAATTCTCTTAACACTTGTTCATCGCATAAGTTGTATAAATCTAGATTATTGTAAGTTTCTCTATAATTCTTACCACTGTTATTCAACTTTATAAATTAAAATCCCTCAAATATTTCATAATATTCACGTGAGTAGGAAAATTTCTTGCTTCTTCTCCACTCGAACACGTTTTTGAATGAAGCAATAAATTTTTCTTATGCATCAATATTTGTCCAGATTGTGATCGTCTTATTTCGTATAATCGTAAAATGTTCCATTTATTATCGAAACAGTTATATCATGTTGTAATATTTTAAGTTTCCCATTTTTAAATAGAGTTCTCACGTTCCAGAATCGTCCTACGATAAATTTTTCACAAAATAGCCTTTGTTTGATAGACATGGATTTGACTTTTTATGGATGCGCTACTTCTTATCATTTCCAACAGTAGTGGGTGGAAATTTATAAACATAAAATGGATATTTATTTATTAAAATTAAATGTGATATTATAAAATTTGATATCGATAATGTATAAATAAAAGTATAAAAGGAATATAGAACCTATGACAAATTATATTTTTCGGCTTTCGTTTACTGAATGTCTTCAACTGATTCTTATACTATAAAGGTTTGACTATTAAATATGTGTCATAATTATTTAGACAATTTTATTTATTAGAAAATATAGATACGTAATACATCCAACAAATATAACTAATAAAAAGTATCATATTAAAAATAAACTTACCCCATCCAATTCCCAAGTAAACAGAAAATTTCACCATATCAACTGAAAATGTCTTTACAACGAGAATATAAAGATAGAGACCTTCAACAAACATCCAGAAAAAGTTAGTGCTCATCAAATATGTTAACATTATAATAAGTAAACAGGCTATCTGTAATAATAATTTCAGTATTTATACATTATCAAATGATTTATATTTATATAATTTTTTTTTATCAAAATTTAAAACTAACCTTTGTTGCCACAGGTGAAGATGAAGACTGTAACGTTGCTGTTATGATCCATGTAAGATCATTTAGAATATAAGTAATCATCAGATTTGTATGAATTGTATTTCTTAAGCATCTGAGATCTCTAAACCAATTAATATCAAGTTTAACTTTCTCATAAAAGTAAATTTATGTTTTGATAATTTATACATTAAACTGTAATGTATGAAACTTTTTTTCAATAAGATTTTATTACTTTTTGAATTATTTATTAATGTATGAAAAACTATTCAAACTGTTCAGAATGTGTTTTTATTTTCATTATAAATTTTATATTTTATTTAAATTTTAAAATTTAAGATAAAAATACATATTTTATTAAATTAGAAATAAAATAAGTTTAAAAATATATGTTATTTACATCTACTAAATTCATATTTGGAATCTTAAAGTATTTTTATATTTTACTATTTTATTTATTAATATTTCTTATGCATTTATTTGTTGCAAAAGTGTAAACATTTTTTATAATAATTTTTAATTTTATCATTAATAAGTTAAATTGAGAAAAAAAAAATTAAGTAACTTATACAATTTTAAAAATTCTACGGTAATAATATTAATATTTACAGCATTATATTTTAATAATCTCTAATTATATTAGTAATTAAATATTTATAAATATTAAATTAAAACTGAAAGTAACATTTATTTTCATTAATATTGAAAAAAATAAATATGATTATACTTTGTTTTATAATTTTTTTTCCAAAACAATTAAAAAAAACGATAAAAAATATTTTTAGTTATAAATAATAAATGTAAAGCACTTTATGATTCTTATTTAAAATTAAAATTATTACATTTAACATTTTAATAAATTAATTTTGTTAAAAGCTTACTTGAAATAGAGAAATATTGATAATGCAAGAATCAGAGCAATCAAAGATAAACTGTAACCAATGTAATAAATAGTAGAATTGTATTTGATATCCAGAATATCCTAAAAATAGATATATAAACAACTTTTAAAATTTAAAATATATTATTCTCATTGGAATTTAAGTCTTAATAGAAATTAAATTAAAGCTCGATTAATTCCGGTTTCTTTAAATTAAACAAAATGAAGTTAAAAAAGTAGAAATATCTGAAGTAAACAATTTTGAAAGCAAATAAATAAAGTAGTTTTATATAATTAAATATTGATAAATATGTTATTTTACTGTTGATTCCAAAGTTAAAATTACATTAGTTTTATTACGAAATTAATCTATGTTAATGAGAAATTTTTAATTTTTGAAGATCGAGATGGATAAAATTTGTGTTACACAATTGTTTCCTTAATAATATAATTAAATTAAATTAAAACTTTAATGTGATTACATTATAGAGACGTATTTTATTCAATTTAAGCATGATTGTTAGCAAAAATTTACATATATTAATATTTTGTTAGTATATTAAATTTTTATTCTTTATATTTTAAATAATATTTCATTTATACTAATTAAATAAAATAAGGCTAATTCAAGAGTAATAACAGATTGAATTCATCATTGAAAAGAAAATTGTCTAATGATCTTTATGCACTGAATAAGAAATCAAAGAGTGCAATTCATTTAGGAACTATTGAAGATAAAAATAACGACTGGATAATGATTTTCACTCACTTCGTGTACCGTAAGTAGGGCTCGACAGCCAGAATAATTCGCTTTCACTGCCCATGTTCCATTTACTTCACACATTCGAGTAGCATTCTCTACAAATAAAAATAGTTTAGTATTCTCCTAACATCAAACTCAACAAATATCAAACATTAACGTCTATCATTCAATAAAAAACTATGAGTAATCTTGTAAAATAAACTTTTTAAATTAATATTATTTAATAATTTCATTAAAAGTTGAAAAATGTTTTATTATGTAACTTATGTAACGATCGAAAAATAAACAAAAATATTTTTAATCATTTTTCAATTCCCTTGCAACATTGGTTATCATTTAAAAACATATTTTTCAAATTTTTTAATTAGCAAATTAGTTTAATAAATACTAATTTGAGAAATAATTAAAATTAATTATATACTGAGATATTATTATATTTAATTTAGAAATATTAATTTATTTATTTTTAGAGAAAATCATTTCGGACAAAATTTATAACAAATTTATATCCTGTAATTTCAAAATAATTAAGTAATATTTCAATTATTTTTATAGAGGAATAAAATTATTTTTAACGAATTATTTAAAATTAATCACAATCATTAAACTTAAANTTACTACATGAAAATGAAAATTAATGAATACGCTGTGTACATTAATTTACCTGATAAGACAGACCTCAGAAAAATACTTTATGAGAGCTTTTATACTTTTATAAAGCTGTCTATAATGAAAATTAATTAAGGATTTTTTTGCCCTGCCAGGGTGTGGCCGAGTTATCCGGAGTGCCGGGTTATCGAGAGCCGAGTTTTCGAGGTTCTACTGTACTTATAATTTATTGTATTTAATAAATTATATAATTTTTGCAGTTATATTACTATGAATTTAATACGCATATTAATATTAATATATTTGAAAAAATTATATAATATATTGTTTTAAATAATTATTAAAAGTGCTATATTGTATAATATATATAGTTATTATTACATTAAAAAATGCAATATATATATATTTCCCTCATTTATTTGAAATCCTTTTCAAAATAAAGAAGAACCCTGATTATCTAATGATTAAAAGGTAATGTAAACCAATACGGAACTTCGACTTCGACTAATCGGGGTTCTATTACATGTAGAGTTTAAAAGTAAAGTAGTCTTTTTTTAAATATAAAATTTATTTATTTTAATATATATTTTATGTGAAAAAATTGTAAAAGGTGTTATCAGAGATTATCTATTTGAAATCTACGAAATATTAAGAATGAAAAGAAACTGAAGTATCTGATCACTTCTCATAGAATGAGTTATCGATTTCGTTTTCGGTGATCAAAATTAACTTTAAAAAATTCATTTCAATCAATACTAAGTAACTAAATAAAAGATTTTATCTTGTAAGTGAAATTTAAAGATTTATTTACTCTAAAATGATCTCAATCGATTATATTTATTTTCTGTTTTTTCCAATATAATTGAAGCATTAAAACTCACAATTTAAAATAGCTGCAGAAAATTTATTACTTGAAGACTTAAGACAGAATATATAAACCTCTAAACTGTTAAAAAAAATATTTAAAAAGTTTTGTTTTCTGAGTAATTCTTGGAATTTCTGACATTTTTATTTATCTCTATAAATGATTAAATATAAGCTTGAGGAATTTAAGTCTTTTTATGAAAGAAATGCATATATTTATTAATTAAATTATTTATTTTTTCAAATAGTATAGAATAAATATAAAATAAAGATTTTGAATAAATATAAGTTATAAATTTAAATATTCTTTTTTTTTCTGATTTATTTATTATTATTACTTGTTTAAAAATATTTAATTATTTAATTTAACATTACATATAAAATATATATTATACAGGGTAAACTGTAAGTGTTGGCAATAAATGCATACGCGTATTATACACGTAAAAATTAAAAGTCGTTATAAACGTAAGTCATAAAACTCATATGAAAGAAATTACAATGTATTTTAGTATTATATTCAATTTTAGCATTATAGAAAAACCGTTTATATAATATTAAAATGAGGAGAAGCTTTATCGTGTATAGACCACATGGGTGTTCTCGATACTAACAGAACGTCTTCTAACAATCCAGGAAAAAGATTTTGTATCAAATTCATGAATAAGGCGCGATATGATTCGCCTGAAAGTTTGTTTGGTTCAATTAATCGACACCGAACAAACTCTCGGGGTCAATAAGGGCCATATGAACTAATCAATCGATCTCCAACGATTTCTGCCAAATAATTAGTTAAAACTAGTGTTAGTGCCAAAATGACAAAACTTCGTGTAACTTATTCTCAGCTCAACTATGCTGGTTAAGAAAATTGAATATACCATTTTTTGAAAACATTGTCTCATCCGTGAAGAAAACATTGGATAAAAACAGGTTTTCTATATATTTTTGCAAAATCCACTGGTAGTACTTTATTCAACAATCTGGATGAAAAATTGACAAATGTCGAAGACTGGGCACGACTATTTTTATGCAAAATTCGCAAGGCAGTTGTTTGAGAAAATCCATGTTTAAAAGTGAGTGTTTATAAGCTAACATGTGGATAACATATCGCTCCATTGAAAATATCTTTTTCGTTTTGTGACGATCTGACGTTTGTGATCTTCCTCCATCTTTCGCATCAAGAAAATGATCCTTAGTTCTCTAAGACGCTGATTAATACAGGTAAACATTTTCCCATCTGGAGTTCGAAACCAGGTAAAGCTTCGTGGTAAAGACTGCGCACTTCTGTTGCTTTTCCACTTGCACGAACATAAAAAATGAATGTCTGCCAATTCTTAAAAACTCGCCTTAAATAATAGGACTAGTACTATTTTTACCATTTTTCACTAGTACAGAGAGGGAGAAACGGAGTTCTGCAATTCAGTCGTGAAATCGTTCCACTAGTACAAATTACAGCAGCATTATTTGCACATTTTTGAGCAAAAATCCAGTATCACAGCATAACAAGAAAACAGCATAGTACGGCACAAAAACACTTAATTTTTTCACAAACATTTTTACCACCACAGTTTCAAACTCCCTTTACGCTGTCAGGTGAATCTTTGCTATGACTCAAATTCATTGCATGGCCAGAATTAATGCTAACTTTGCATATTTTCTTCTAGGCATAAAATGTTTTAACTCTTTTCCTATAAGTTCCCCAGCAAACATAAATACAGTAAGAAAAGTTCTGTTAGTTTTTAGATATAGAATATTCATATGCGTTTATAATTGACAGTTACAGTTCAGTATGTATATGTAAAATATACTGTACAACACTTGTCCATAAAGTTCCGAGACTAATTCAATAACTCGACTTAGATAAATGTAAAAAAAAAACAGTGAGTTAACATCAAGTTCTGTGTGAAGCTAGACAAGACAGACATAGAGACATTGCAGCTTCTACGTGATGCTTAGGGTAATGAGTGACACAGTCGATTCTAGGGTATCGGTGAGGATGATACAAGATCAGGCCAGCCTTCGAGTTCAAGGAATGAAGAAACCATAGATCGCATTGAAGATATATACTGGCTGTTCAATTTGGATGTTCATTATTTGGATGTTCATTCTTCTCACAGCAAAAAGTACCACTGACATGTCACGAGTTTTGTCCGCCTTGATTCGCTGCCTTTCGGAGATCGAAAGAACTAATGCCAATGACACAAGCGACTCGTGAAATGTCTATTTACTCAAACGTAACATCTCGTACCACACAGCATTTACTTAAGTCGTGATATGAAATCAGTCTCCATACTTTATGGACAAGGCTTGTATATTATATAAGCATATAATATTGTTGGAGCTTGAATGACTGTATGTAGTGATTGAAATATTTTTTATTTATTAAACAAATTTTAAGAAACATTATATAAATATAAAATTTATTATTATTATAAAATTACTCTTATATTTTAAATATAAACTTCTAATATAACGATGTACACAAATATATTAAACACGTTATATTTTATAAATATGTTTATATTAAAACTTAACGCTTGAAAAAATATGTCGTAGTAAGAAAATTAAAAAACAATTTTTTTTTTACCAGAGTAGATGCTATGTTAAAACACTGATAAGTCGTGCAAACTTATACCAAAACAAAACTTCACAACAGCTATTCGGAGCGTATAAAACAAAATGACAGAAAAGACATGGCTATTTGTTCAAATCCCTAGAGAGTTTGGATGTTCATTAACACACTTGACCAATCAGTATTAACATAGATCACGTCAAGTCATTACTATAGAAGGAACGAAGGGAAAATATATGCAAATAAAGAGAAAATTATACAGGGTAAACTGTAAGTGTTGGCAATAAATGCATACGCGTATTATACACGTAAAAATTAAAAGTCGTTATAAACGTAAGTCATAAAACTCATATGAAAGAAATTACAATGTATTTTAGTATTATATTCAATTTTAGCATTATAGAAAAACCGTTTATATAATATTAAAATGAGGAGAAGCTTTATCGTGTATAGACCACATGGGTGTTCTCGATACTAACAGAACGTCTTCTAACAATCCAGGAAAAAGATTTTGTATCAAATTCATGAATAAGGCGCGATATGATTCGCCTGAAAGTTTGTTTGGTTCAATTAATCGACACCGAACAAACTCTCGGGGTCAATAAGGGCCATATGAACTAATCAATCGATCTCCAACGATTTCTGCCAAATAATTAGTTAAAACTAGTGTTAGTGCCAAAATGACAAAACTTCGTGTAACTTATTCTCAGCTCAACTATGCTGGTTAAGAAAATTGAATATACCATTTTTTGAAAACATTGTCTCATCCGTGAAGAAAACATTGGATAAAAACAGGTTTTCTATATATTTTTGCAAAATCCACTGGTAGTACTTTATTCAACAATCTGGATGAAAAATTGACAAATGTCGAAGACTGGGCACGACTATTTTTATGCAAAATTCGCAAGGCAGTTGTTTGAGAAAATCCATGTTTAAAAGTGAGTGTTTATAAGCTAACATGTGGATAACATATCGCTCCATTGAAAATATCTTTTTCGTTTTGTGACGATCTGACGTTTGTGATCTTCCTCCATCTTTCGCATCAAGAAAATGATCCTTAGTTCTCTAAGACGCTGATTAATACAGGTAAACATTTTCCCATCTGGAGTTCGAAACCAGGTAAAGCTTCGTGGTAAAGACTGCGCACTTCTGTTGCTTTTCCACTTGCACGAACATAAAAAATGAATGTCTGCCAATTCTTAAAAACTCGCCTTAAATAATAGGACTAGTACTATTTTTACCATTTTTCACTAGTACAGAGAGGGAGAAACGGAGTTCTGCAATTCAGTCGTGAAATCGTTCCACTAGTACAAATTACAGCAGCATTATTTGCACATTTTTGAGCAAAAATCCAGTATCACAGCATAACAAGAAAACAGCATAGTACGGCACAAAAACACTTAATTTTTTCACAAACATTTTTACCACCACAGTTTCAAACTCCCTTTACGCTGTCAGGTGAATCTTTGCTATGACTCAAATTCATTGCATGGCCAGAATTAATGCTAACTTTGCATATTTTCTTCTAGGCATAAAATGTTTTAACTCTTTTCCTATAAGTTCCCCAGCAAACATAAATACAGTAAGAAAAGTTCTGTTAGTTTTTAGATATAGAATATTCATATGCGTTTATAATTGACAGTTACAGTTCAGTATGTATATGTAAAATATACTGTACAACACTTGTCCATAAAGTTCCGAGACTAATTCAATAACTCGACTTAGATAAATGTAAAAAAAAAACAGTGAGTTAACATCAAGTTCTGTGTGAAGCTAGACAAGACAGACATAGAGACATTGCAGCTTCTACGTGATGCTTAGGGTAATGAGTGACACAGTCGATTCTAGGGTATCGGTGAGGATGATACAAGATCAGGCCAGCCTTCGAGTTCAAGGAATGAAGAAACCATAGATCGCATTGAAGATATATACTGGCTGTTCAATTTGGATGTTCATTATTTGGATGTTCATTCTTCTCACAGCAAAAAGTACCACTGACATGTCACGAGTTTTGTCCGCCTTGATCCGCTGCCTTTCGGAGATCGAAAGAACTAATGCCAATGACACAAGCGACTCGTGAAATGTCTATTTACTCAAACGTAACATCTCGTACCACACAGCATTTACTTAAGTCGTGATATGAAATCAGTCTCCATACTTTATGGACAAGGCTTGTATATTATATAAGCATATAATATTGTTGGAGCTTGAATGACTGTATGTAGTGATTGAAATATTTTTTATTTATTAAACAAATTTTAAGAAACATTATATAAATATAAAATTTATTATTATTATAAAATTACTCTTATATTTTAAATATAAACTTCTAATATAACGATGTACACAAATATATTAAACACGTTATATTTTATAAATATGTTTATATTAAAACTTAACGCTTGAAAAAATATGTCGTAGTAAGAAAATTAAAAAACAATTTTTTTTTTACCAGAGTAGATGCTATGTTAAAACACTGATAAGTCGTGCAAACTTATACCAAAACAAAACTTCACAACAGCTATTCGGAGCGTATAAAACAAAATGACAGAAAAGACATGGCTATTTGTTCAAATCCCTAGAGAGTTTGGATGTTCATTAACACACTTGACCAATCAGTATTAACATAGATCACGTCAAGTCATTACTATAGAAGGAACGAAGGGAAAATATATGCAAATAAAGAGAAATTTATTCATTAGTGATTTTACTAGTTAATTATTAAAGTTAAAAGTCGAAAATTCTATAATAAAATAGAAATCATATCTAATAAAATTTATTTTAAAATGATTTTTATAAAACAACAAACTTACGTGTTACGTCATAATAAACTCCTCTCAATTCATAAAAACAAGGAATAACTGCCAAGGTTTGTGCAGGAGTCATAGGCCAACAAGCAGCACCATCCCACGTATTATTACAGTAATTTACTAACAGAACACGAATAAAAATTTAATTTATTCTTTATAAATTATAAATTTTATATTAATTAATTTAATAATTATATTAAATCAAATAGATTTAAGGGAAAATATATATAAATATTTATTTATAAACTAGAGTAATTGTTAAAGAAATAGAATGATCAATAAATTAAAACAGTTTTTGTTAATTAATTGTTGGTAAAAGAAACGAAAAGAAAAAATAAAATAAAGTGAAAGTTTTTAGTGACATTAGATGATATTCTAACACAAAAGCAGAAGTGAGCTTCTGTATTATTTGTTATTTTCTTATTTCAAACTGTAGCCTTAAGAGAATCGAACAAACAACTTGGATATATTTTCTTTAACTGAATTAAAGAATCTTGGAAGTGAATAAAGCACATCACCAGGGGAGAAAAGAATTTCAATTTATGACTTTACCTCAATTAAATATATTGATTCCCATCTGAAATGCAAACTAAAACTTTCGAAATATAAGATTTTTAAAAATAAAATTAATCCATAAATTTTGTCAAAGTTAAAAATAAAAGTAAATGCTACACAATCGTAAAAAAGTTATTAATTTGTATCTCATTTATGTTTTATGGAGTTAATAATATCGATTAATGATCTCGAATAAGTCAAATGAAATTTGTTTAATTTAAATTTTATCATTTTATCTATTAAATTTATAAAAATAGGATAGAAAAGTTTAATTCTTTTAAATTAATTAGTACAAAAATTAATTAGTTTTAGATGTTTTAATGATATGATTAAAATTGTATCGAATGTTTTCTGTGTAGACTTACGCCATTATATGTCTTTATAATTATACTTTGAAAAGAACTTTAAAAAAATTCAAACATATATTTATCTGCAAATTCAATGTTAACTACTTATTAACTATAACTTAGTGGGGAAAAAATTTAGAGATTATATATAGAGCTTACAATTGTACAGTTTAAGAGAGAATTTATAGGTTTGTGCAAATATGGTGGAGTACATTCCGGAAATAATAGGAAAAGTGCCGTAAAACTAGCTGACAAAGCAAACAACTCTGCGGAAATTCGATCCAATTTCAAGCTCTGTGTGAAATAATAGATAATTATGAATTACCGATTTCTTTGCTCATAAACTGGATTCAAGTTTTTGTAACATCTTTCTTATTTTTTTTTTTTTTTATGAATGGCACCTCCAATTATTTTATCAAGAATATATAAGATTAGTTACGCTGACGTAGCCCATTACGATGACAGCCAAATGGAATAATACAAATAGAATATTAGAAGAAGTGCATTATTGCAATTTCTTTGCACATTTAATCTTCATTCTTATTCTTCTTCAAATTCTATTATATAAAAGCCATCTGGATTTGATATTTCGAAGAAAAAAAAAAACATGAACTTTTTGTAGAACTCTGTTGATTTGATTGCATTATATAACTACAAATGGACTATCTTCTGAATATCGAAAATCTATTCTGCTTAATTTATTTATATAGATCTACAGCTTTTTAAAACGTATATAATAAATATGCTATTGACATAAAGTCCAAATATTCAAAGTTCTTTATGAATTTTAGTTACATTTACTTTATTATAAAGTTAATTTAGGAAATTATTATTTGAAAATTGCATTTAAGAGTTAATTAATTTCCAAAATTTTTTTAATATTTTAATTTAAACTAGAATAATATTAGTATTTAACAAAATTTTTTTTAAAATAATCATAATCACACGTAGAAGAATTTGATATTTTATTTCTTTCTTGAAATATTTCATCCATAAATAACTTCATGTTATTACATTTGAATATTTCAATTTATTTGTGAGAGATTCGATTGATTTGACTTTTAAAATCCGTTCTTTAAAGAGATATATGAAATCATTATCATATAAAAAAGTTGTAAACAAGATCAAATTTATAAAATAAGAAATTTAATCCTAGCCAATTAGTCTGAAGGATTTGTTGACATGTAATATTTTACGTACTGTGAATGTAAATACATCTTTAGCAATAATAATAAAAATAAAACTTTTTACAAGAATAAGAATTAAGAATTTATAGCAGAATAATTTTTAAAAGTAGTTATTAAAACCATATTGTGAAATATTTGTAAAAATTTATAAAATAGGCCTATATACAATTAAAAATATTAATGTTAATATTAATTAATTTATGTATTTATAATAGAGACTTTTCTATATCACTTAAGATATATAATTATATTAAAAACATAATAAACGTTAATTAAAAATATTTGAAATAATTATTGTAGTTATTAATTAGAAATTAAATAATTCAAAAATATATTTTCTTGTACAGTATAATTGTATTCATTTTAATTTTTTTTCTCAGGTTTTCTATATTTTAGTATAAATGACACATTTTGAATTAAACTTCTGACTCTAATAAAAATTTTCCAGTTGAAATAAATTAATAGTAGGACAGTTTACTTAAATTTCATACATAAAAATTACAATATAAAATGTAATAAATCACTTTTAACATAAAGTCATAGCGTCTTTTCGTAGTGTTATTAAATTCTTCCGCGTATAGCAATAAAATATTTTAAATAAAAAATTAAAGCTTGTTATTTATATAATAAAACGTCTTAAAAATTTACATTGTCATTTTGAAATAGTGCTTTTTATAGACTAATCTTAAATATTAAAAAAAGTGGAACATGTATTGTATTTTTAATTGAATTTTTTTGTTTCCTACAAATGTATTTCGTTAACAAAATATTTTAAAAATAGGGAGAAATTGTATAATAAACTAATAAAATAAAATTTATTTAATAGTAAGAAAAAGAAGGATTAGCTTATATTTTTATTTACAATAATAAAAGTACTTATTTACTTCATTGTTCTAACATAAAATTAAACAAAATTTTTATTAATTTAAATAAGTAAAAATCAATTTTATTGTGGTAAAGTATGTGTAGACGAGAGAGAGAAAGCTTGAACTCTCCTTTTCCTCCTCTTTTTTTTATGATTCTCACTCCATAGAATCAATGTCTACGATGTTGAAAGCCGGCTGTATCGTGATAAAATCTATAAGGACTATTTATAATCACAGATGACATAATAGTAACGAGTATACAATGCCTAGGAACACAATCTAGCTATATTGACTTAAGGGAAGAAAGAATAGTAAAAGAAAAATAATAACAAATATTTTGGGTTAATGAATCTCGTAAAATCATTTCGAAATTTATTAAACATAAAAAAGAAATACATGATACTTAAACTAAGGTTTAAATTTCTTAATAAAAATTAATTAAATACTTATCTTTTAATGAATGAATATAATTCAAAACTTCGATTGCTTATGAATAAAACTTACCTGTACTATTAATTGTACTTTTATTATGGATTTCTAAATAACAACTTAATTCTTTGTAACTGTTATTAGCGAGTTGAATCATATCGAGTGTAAAATTCCCCCAATCGAAGGAATCCATTTTGACAAGTTTCTTTAGAAAAGTCATAAAAATAATAATGTCTTCGGCTCTATCTGCAGAAATAAAAAAAACAACAATGAGACTTTCCACATCGAATGGATGACTAATTGTTTTTGTCTTACGTCACCATCACTAATGATAAAGATTGACCGAAAAAGAAAGACTTAGATATTTTAAATGATAACACTGGCATTCGTTTAATGAAAACTTAAAGTAACATTGTACAATAGACTTGTACAATGTTACTTGCAAAAATCACAGAATTTTATTTTATATATTTAAATGGATTTTCTAGCGTTTATGAATTTTTTATTAAAAAATAATTATTAATTATGTTACTTTTATTTAATCACTTTTCAATTGCTACTTTATAAATATCGTTTAATACTTATAGTAGCTTTTGTGTAAATTCCTTTAAATATCGATACGTTGTGCAATTTTTCTAGTAAATAAATAATTTTTCAATAAATATTCTTATTTGGCTACATTCCAAACTCATATAGTTAAGAAAAACAAATTTATTATTGAAATTGTATTAAATAATGTCTTCTATTTTATAAATTCTTTCATTATACTTTAATGCAAATAAAATTATATATTTGCATTAATTCTGATATTTACTTAATTATCCATATTATTCTAATAAATAGCACTTTATTTTTATTAACTAGTGCTATATTCACTTAAATTGTAAATTAAAGTAAATTAAAGAAGTTACAAATTAAAATATTCTTCGTTAATTTGCTTATTAATTTTAGATTCTTTTTGATAAATTGCTTATGTAGAAACGTAAGCATTTGAATAAGATTTTGGAAATATAAATATTTAAAAAACTAATACGAAAAAGTAAAAGGATTTATTGTGAAATCGGCAATAAAATGGAATTGGAGTTATAAAATAAGGAAATTAGAAAATATTGTTTAAGAACTGAAAATTTTATGAAGCAAAAAGGTAAAGCACCCGAGCAGATTATTTCGTAAAAATAAGATAAAAATAATCTGAGATCTATATCTAACTATAATAATTTAAAGTTTGTTTTGAATTTTAATTTATCTATACAATATTTTGAATTTCATTAGATTTAAATATTTTTAAAAATAGGTTAAACATAATAAATTATTTAAAATTATTATCTACTTGTACAGTCTACAAAATAAGTTTAGACCAAACTAAATTAAAAGTTGATACTAAAAGAAAAAAATGTATTAGAAACTGATACCTAACTGTTGAAAATTGGCTTTATTTAAAGAAAAGTCTGGATTATCCAGTTTTATACTCAGTATTTGATCTTTTTATTATTGTATAAATGGTCGATAAATAAAATTTTAGTTTTCATTACACATATTATAATGTAATAAGTACGCAAGTGTTAGTTCACGCATCACTGAGATGAATGGTGCTTATCAACAACTATGCCAATTATCTCATTTGGAGACGCAGTTAGAAATTTGACACCTAAGGAGACTATGACTCAACAGTATGCTAATCAAAAAGTGAAAAAATAAAGTTCAGTAAAATTCAAATTTCTATATAAACTGAAATTACAATATAATACATAATATAATTAATACAGACATTGCGTTAAGAAAGTGTTTATTGTTACTACGAAAGCCTTTTTCGGATGACTAACAACCTATTTTTGAATTATATGACTAATAGATATAAAATATTTATTTGTAAAAACTTAGTTTTAAGTCTCCCCCGTTTGAATATTTCATCACTTTGATTTTCGTTCTTTCTTACTAAATGTTAATTTGCGTTGTGTTGACAGTATAGTGTCGATATATACAGAATGAATTCTGAATAAATTACACGATAAATAAATTGAAGTTTTATGGAAATAAAATAAATTAAATTAAATTATTAAATTATATAAATTTCGTTTATTCAGTGTCATACTGCATAAACAAGTATTCTGTTCTTACATTTTTATATGTTACTATTTAAAATATGAATGTATGTTATACAAGAGATAATTTTATATATTCTTACTATAAAAATACACTAAATAGTTATTTTAAAATTTGATATTTGACTTTCTATATTCTAACTTGTCTTTGTAGCCTATATATTGTCATTTAAAATATTTCTATTAATATAGATAGTTTATAAAAATCAAATGGCTATAATTTTTTCTAAGATTATCAAAAATAACTTTATGTAAAGAAATAATCACGCATTATATAAAAGTATTTATTATATAGTATATATTAAAATGGAAAAAGTGATATGTTGCGTGCGATGGAACACATTACTGCAAAGTGCTATTGAACTGAAACTATAGATTAATTTAGAATAGGTAGATATAATTACGTGCATCGTTTCTACCTAATTTCAATATTAATATATGTATTAACTAAGTATTATAAGTTAGTAATGCTGTATATTATAGTCTTATTATAGTAATATATTACTGAATATTTAGTAAATTAAAGTATATATTAATACTGAAACGGATACCATGATATATCGGAATTAAAACTTAGATTTATACCTTACAAAAGCCGATAAATATATACATTATGTTATGAAAAACTTAAAATATGTAGAAAAACACAATCTATGTTTAAGAAGAAAAAATGATTTGGTTTTTTAATTTGTAATTGGCAGTGATTCATATATTCAAAGTAGGGTCGAAAATTTCAAAAATATTTTATTTGATTTCTTATTTTTAAAAGGTTCTTTAAAAAGTATTTTAAAAAAGAAGTAAACGTCTCTTTTATTTCTTTTATACAAATAAATCTTCGCACATTTCCATTATCTTGTATTTAGTGATGAGAAAATTCATATCCTTATATCTTGACTGACATTTGTCAAAAGAATTTGATGGTTTTGATGGCGAGTTCGTTTTTGCTTATGAACTGCTGTTTCAATATGCTGTTTTAATTGGAATAATTGTGTACATGTTATCTATGAAAAACATAATTTTGTTAGCAATCAATTACTAGAATATATTCATTAAAAAACGTAAACGAACGAAAAGAAAAAAAATAAATTAAATTAATAATAACGTAAAAAATAAATAGGGAAAATAATTCTCTGAGTAGATGAAGGGAAATTATGTTTTATTTAAATGTTAGAAGAGAACAGCCCTATTTGTCAGAAATTTAATTTATTTTTAAAAACTCTGATTATTTAGATGCATTGTACTGTGTCTTTTTAGATTATGTTTGTTTAAGATCATTTTTGAGAATTATAATAAGGGGCTTCTAAAAATAGACACCATTAATGAATAACTACAGATGTTAGACGTTATTTGAAATAACTGTCGTACAAGTCTAGCTACTGTACCTGTAAGCGGATTGATTTTAATAATTTGTTTGGATTAACGACTATAAAATTATTTTACGTCTGCATAATTTGAATCTCACCTAATTGAATTTACACAAATAGTAAAATTCTGTTGAAAAACTTATTGAAAACTTCTGGAGAAATTAATAATAACGAGCAATTATTATGATACTATCACAATGCTTTTTAATCATAATGTAATTTAAAAATTAATTAGGGTCTCCGGCCTCTAAACTTTCCTTATCTAATTCTGTTCTCGAGATTAACGAAGGATGAACAAACGGACGGCTGTGAGGATTTAAGTCTGCGATTTGAAAATTACAGTCCAGTTAACGGTCGGGTTTATATGCATTTAAAATCGCAATATATGCGCTACATATGCATATAAAATGCTAGATATATGCACTGTTATATGCACGTTAGAATGTCTAAAATATGATTTTGCATATTAAAAGCACTCGTACTTTACATTAAAATTCCTAGGTTTAAATGCATACATACGCCTACTTTACTTTTGTCTGCCAGCAAATCTTATCAATATGTATTACTTCACACTTTTCAGATGGTAAGGGATAAACTTGTGATAGATGACGACAAAGGAAATGGAAAATTATGACGTCACAAAACACGTATTAGAATAATGTTTTAAGTAGAGATGCACAATTAAATCCATTACGAATAAAATTACATGCATAAAGAATTTTATTGCCTTCTTTGCTAGCTAATCAATCATTGTTGAGTTTATTTCTGTATATACAATTGTTAACAAGATATTTGAGGATGAATGGGTTAACTTAGTTTTCGTTTTCCTATAGTTACACCACTGTTCTAAACTTGTCTCATATTTTTGTTTATAGCACTGTACAAATGGTGAGAAATAATTAAACTCCAAGTTAATCAATTATTGATTTAGTAGGCCTATCAAAGATGGCAGTAATGTCTTGTCTCTAACTGATATCATGAACTCTACTCTACTAAAGTTAGTTCAGCACAACTGGAATTTACCTATGATCAATTGCTGTTATAGTGTTTGTTTTAGCGTTTCATGTTACGTTGATTAAAGGCCATTTCAACTTGCTGAGTCGCGAAATGATTTGTAAAAGGTATGTTTAAACTCATCATCTATTTGAAATTTTCGACATTTGCATGAAATTTAAGATTGTATTTTCACCATGCATGTACTAAGAAGGCCTTTCTTTCCATATTCACTGTGGATTTGTCTAGATCCACAATGGATAAGGTAGAGTAGTGAAAAACTGAAACGACATATCCGGGACAGCGATCGATCTATGAAAAATCCCGTTCGTCTCCAGGATCAAATCTTGGGTTCCCAGAGTGGTAAACTGATGCTTTAACCGCTTCGGCATCTGGCTATCGAAATTTGAGATTATAAAAAAAAAAGTGTCACACGACGTCACAGAAATGACGTTTGAATTTTCGAAGTTTTTATTCCGTTCTATTTTATTCTCCATCGTATCCAAGCTTTGCTGTCACTATGCAAATTCCTAAATTGAAGAATAATTATAATTTTTAAAAATATACAGCGAAGAAAAATAAAAATGAAGGCAATAATAGAAACTGTTATTTGTCGGATAATTGAAATATGTTTTTATTTCTTCTCGCAGTAATTTGTCCAGTAATTTCATTTAAAGAATTTTATTGCCAACACCTTTAGATGAATTTTCTAAACAGGAGATTATGTTTATAAGAAAATACTATTATTAATTTATTTAAAATACAGAATTAAAATATTAAACGGACA